GCTGATGTCCCTCACAATGACCAACCCCGTTTCATATCTGTGGTTGGGAGTCTCCTCCTATCACTTCCTGCAGGTGTTGCTAGAGCTGTGGAGTCTGGATCTGTGGTTGGGAGTTTCCTGCTGCCCCCATGTTCCTGCTCATCATTAGCATTAATATCATTGCCATTTTTAATCTATTCTACGTGTTGCTGTGTTGGCTGCCTCTCTCTGCTCCCTCTGTCCTTCTCTCTCTCTCTCTCTCTCTTGCTCTCTCTTTCCCCTCACCCCCAACCGGCCGTGGTTCTGCTCAAGGTTTCTGCCTGTTAAAAGGAAGTTTTTCCTTGCCTGTGTCGCCTAGTGCTTGCTCATGGTGGGAATTGTTGGGTTTCTGTAGTTAACTTCAGAGTAGGTCTGACCTGCTCTGTTTGGAAAGTGCTGTGAGACAACTGTTGTTGTGATGTGGCGCTATATAAATAAAATTGAATTGAAAATTGAATATCAAACAGTGTAATATCTATGCTGCTCCACAAGGGAAAATGTAGCATTGTCCTGATTCAGAACTGGGGCCCATCCCGGCCGACAATGGCTGAGATTAGGGAATTAAACTGATTTTTCTTTCCACTACAGAGCTGGGGCTGAAGGAGCTGGTGGATGGTTTGACCACAGGTGTGGAGGTGGATGAGGTTATCAGAGATGTTAGACTGGACTTTGAGGTTGGTGGACGTACAGAAAACAAATAAACGTGGCAAATTTGTCTTTTGGTTTCATCAAAGTCGGACTAATCGCCTTCCAGAATCCACCAGTCCAACCATCCACCATCCCCATACTCCAGACCAGTCCTACACTGGAAATAAAGATATGGGGTATTTGCCTTGAAAAATACCAAAGCATTCAAAGTACTTGTGTATTTTCAATCTATAAATAAAGCTTTTAATCAAGTGCAGTTCAAGCAAAATTTCCTGATACACTTCACAAGACAATAACTCCAACTGCATGATGATAATAGCTGTAATCATAAATAATCTTCTTTATAAAGCACTTTTCCAGACACTCGAAGATGCATTATTCTACCACTCCTCAGTCATTTGGTGTGGAGGCGTCATCCTGCTACTAAAAAGGTCTCAAAGAACCCCCACAGTCGCACCATCACAGTCACATAGGAATCGAACTGGCGACCCTCCGGATACAGGATGAATGACTAAGGACAAGAGCTGGCTCAGTTTAAATGAATGAAAAATACGTTGAGAAAAAATTTGAAATATTTAAGTTTACGCCGGAAAAACTTCAGATTAACTCAAATTATAGCACTGTAAATCTAACCCAGGATTCATGCATCATCAACCTTCTCAGGAAACACTTAGGACAAAAAAACTCTTCATCTTTTAGCCCAAACAACTAGTTTAACAGGAGATTAGTGACTTGTTTCACAGCATGTTGGAGGGACAAAATGGCAAATACAGGCTATTAAGACTTGGAGATCTGTGGGATACATTTGATAAATAGGCTGGCTCCTTTGTCAGTGTTTTAAGTCAGTGCAACCCTTTTTTACTTCCTTATAAGACTTACAGAAAACCCAGGTCCTCCAGAGCTGTTGTTTTATGACACTTTTTCAGCTTCACGGCCAAAAACTGGCTCTTTAAAAGTCGTTTAAGGTTTTCTTGGACATCTCGAGCATCTTTTTTAACATCATTTTCCAAGCTAGATCAACTGGATGCTCTGTTCTGTCAGAAGTGGTCAGATGTGCTGTGGAGCCACAGTGCCCTCTAGAGGTCAGTGGCAGAATGCGTCTCAAACATCAGACCTGTACAAAAATATTTCAATGGGAACACACACATTTATTTGTACATTGTTCAACACAAAAAGATTTCTTCACAAACACATGATCAGAATTTTCAGAATGAGCTGAAGAACAGTTTTCATGTCTTTCCTTTCTTTATCTCAGTCATCTGAATATGGTGAGGTTTAAAGAACAATGAAAACATGTCTCAGGAAACTGAGAAATAGAGTTTTCAGAGTTTTTGAAGCAGAGCAAGACAAGAAAAAGAAATAAAATAAAGAATGAAGATGGTGTCTTATACTGACCAACAAGGCCACAGAAAAGTGTCACCTTTCCTGAACCATGTTAATAAGCAACCATTTCTGATTAGATGGGTATCTACTGCATTCCTAATGCACTTTTAGGTAGTGCTCTCCCTAAAAAGTAAATAAAATAAAATTATAGTAAACTACTCCAGGTAAGATCCATCTATTTTCGGATCCACTTATTCTGCAGGGGGACTGGAGCCTATCCCAGTGGTCAATGAGCAGGAGCGGGGTCACCCTGGACGGTCCCCAGTCCATCACAGGGCCACACAGAGACACACAAGGACCAACAACCACACACACTCACACTAAGGGCAGTTTGGAGTCCAACCAACCTAACATGCAGGTTTTTGGACGGTGGGAGGAAGCCGGAGAACCCGGAGAGAACCCACAGACACAGGAGAACATGCAGACTCCACCCAGAAAGGTCCTAGTTCCCCCGGGACTCCAACCCAGAACCCTCTGGTCCTGGTTCCCCCGGGACTCCAACCCAGAACCCTCTGGTCCTGGTTCCCCCGGGGACTCCAACCCAGAACCCTCTGGTCCTGGTTCCCCCGGGGACTCCAACCCAGAAGCTTCTGGTCCTGGTTCCCCCGGGGACTCCAACCCAGAACCCTCTGGCTGTGAGGACTTGGTGCTGACCACCACACCAACCCACTTCCAGATCAGATGTATGTAATATGCCAATTGAAATTTTCTTATGAAACCTCTTTAACTTAACCAGATTTACATCTGTTGAAATGTACAAATGACGTTAAAGAAACTATCACCTTGATTTGAGTTTTTTGTGAAAAAGTTATTGAACAGACTATTTATAAATGTTCTTTGAACATGATAATGATGGAAGAATGGATGTTATATTTTTCGATAATTTCTTATGACTGAAGGAACTGCCTGCAGTCTGAGCTTTATTGTTCAGGGAAAGAAAAGCTTTAGAAGCAGCCGACAGACGGCCTTGTGCTGTCATTTCATCATGGCCGCTCGTGTGGAACATGTCGCAGCACATAATGTGGCTTAAGGACACCCACACGCACACACCTACCTGCCAAGTCTTTGTTTCCAGTCAACACGACCCACTGAAGGTGACAAAGTGACAAAAACACGTGCACTAAAGGTGGAAAGCGCTTCTCAGCTCACTACTGCCCTCTAGCGGGAAGTTGGTATAATCACACTCTGTCAGAAGGTCGTTCTAATCTCATCCATATTTCTTCTGGACAAAAACACCATAAAAAAATACACATATACTTACATGTGCTTGGAGACAGAATAAAAAGATCTAGGCTGCCAAGACTGTAAAACCAAAAGATATAAAATCACATTTGATCTATTTCCAGAATAAGAAGTTGAGAGTTGTGGAATATTACTTGTATTTGAGGAGGGTGAAGTAGTTATGATTAAAAAAAAAAATGCTTGCAGCTTTTTCTGGGTAATTTGGATTTGACAAGGTACTGTAACTTAGGCATAACTCTGAAGTGGTTAACTATAAACCAGACCGGGTGACTTCTGAGCCCCTCTGCTGCTTAAGAAACTGATAAGAGCATGATTGGTTTTTGTGCCATGTTTTTTTACATCACATTCACTGCTTTTGATTTAAATGTTGCACGTTTATTGCTAAGGATGTATATCAATTTATGTCAGTTATGTTTAAATGTAGTCTTATGTGTCACATATAAGTTAAACTAAAGTTTCCATTCTCTCCATGTGGCAATACTTTAAGTGTTCCCAGTCTAAAATGTTTTATTCCCACTCTGATGCGTTTGTCTGACTGGGCACGGATGGTTTCCTGTCCCTATTTGATAGGAATGCACTGGAACATTACCTTTATTTTTGTCTACGGAAAATAAAAGAAGGTTCCCAAAACCTTAGTGCTTCCAGATTGAATTTTATCACCTGCCACAATGTTGTGAGAAACAGACTGCCCCCTGGATTATTAATTACCGTTCAGGGTAATTAGTAGTCCAAAGAGAAGCCTGCTTCTTGAGATGTCGCAGTAGTAAAATCTAAATTCCTATAAGGAAACTCTTCAGATTGAAGATTAGGTTGTGTTTTTTCATATTGAAATATTGGAGACATATGAAAGCCTCTCGGATATTTGTTCATGCAGGAAAAATTATGAACCATGATATGGTTTAAGAACATATTTGGAGTGGTCATGCCGCGTTAGACACACATCTGCTGCAACACGTGAATCTGTGACCTCTCCTTCCCTCTAAACCTCTGACCCATCTGGCTGCTGTCCGGTCAGTAGCGGATGTCATTTGCCCACATTTCTATCAATCTGGCCGCTCTAACACCAACAAAAGTTCTGGTCCTCGTCAGAATAACCACAAATCTTCATCAGCGTGTAATGGGTCAGATTTTAATGTACATCTCCATTATAAAAATCTAAAGTTTGGCACAGTTCTAATGATTTACATATATGCACAGTAGGATGTCTAGCAAGCTTTTGTTTGGATCCAAATATCAAAAATACATGAAAACCAGAAGGGGGAGCAGATTTAGCATTTGAAGTGATTGTGAGTTAATAACTGTCCAAAGAAAAACATTATATATTGATGCATGTACCAATAAATGCAAACTGAATTCCTTATTGATGTGACAAAGGTTAAGTTATGGAAAACACAGGGCTGTGACTATAAATCCCCCTCAAAATTGAGAAAAAGCTGAATAATTTACAGTATTTGGTGATGTATCTTGATGCTTAATGCCTTTAATTTGATAAACATGTGGTTTCTAAAATCTGACAAAACTATAGTACCTAATCAAGAAGCCTTTCTTTACACTGGGATATCATGTAATCATTTAACATCTCTGGGTATAAATGGACATAATGTGTAAAAGGGAAATGTACAAACAGACAGTTTATATACAGTATATATATGTATGTATATATATATACATAATATAAAATAAAATTAAGACATACATTCTGTTAAGACCCAATAACGTTTCAGAAATATTTAAATTTATGCACATATACGTGTAGAATTTGAATTAAGGATTTAAATTTGAGGCAGAACTCCCCCGCCGACAACAGGGGGCAACAAAAGCTCACGGAAAAAAATAGTTCACAAGAGAAGCAGAGTAGCTTTTCCATATCCCATATCCCTCATTTCCCTCATATCTACAATACCGCCATCAGAACCGGTCACTTCTCAGGTCAGACCTGGAATTAGAAGAACTGTTCTTCCTCCATTCAAACAGATGCTGTAAAAACCTTTTCTAGAGGTAGATGGCACCAACATTTCAGATAACCTACATATTTCTTATATTTCTTGTTAAACATCTGATTTTGACAACACATTTATTCTTTGTTATCACACCCTTAAGGCTCTGAAGTAACCCAACCAGCCCGGGACATAACTCATAGAAAACTAGTCAGATTTCCCATATTAACAACCATTTTTAAGCCTGATATACTCAGACTATTAGAAACGTTTTTTTCATTTTGTATTAATGATAATAATAATAAAAAAGAAGGCCTGCTCTCCATCCAGAACACCATGTAAAGCGCTGACGCAGTGTTCTCCACGGCTAATGTCTGACCCTGCCAGGGACGGTCCTCGGTCCAGGGGAAGTGGACACAGGCATTTGGAGGTCACACACGAGGGGGCTTCCCATCTATCGACTTTCATGACTGACGCAGTCCTCCTATTCTCGGAAATGATCTCCATTCTTTGACACAGCTGGATATAGCTGTTGTCTTACGGTGTGATTCCACAATTAGGCATGTTATCTACAATTGTCGACATCTATTGCAACCAATATTGCTCAATATATCCTCCAAAATCTTCGAGATAATTTGTCTTTTTCTCACGGAGAAGGCTATTGGTCTAATTTGGTTCCTCTTATCCACAGGGACTCCTGTTAACCTCAATTAAGGAATTCAAGATATTGTTTAGTTGAATCTTCTCGATGTATCGTTGCTATGGACGTAACTAGACAACTGATTCCATGTTTGAACATGAAAACGTCGTACAACCTGGGTGAAATAGGTTATTTCCCCCACGCTATCCGATTGGTCCATGCCTGAGTGGACACGGGTCTGGCCCTCAGGCCGGCCTGCACTCCAGCATCTTCCGGAAGGCTTTCCTGAAGCTGTCGTCCAGGAAGGCGTAGAGAAAGGGGTTGAGGCAGGAGTTGGCGTAGCTCAAGCTGGTGATCATGTAGGAGATCCCTATCAGGAGCGGGGTGGGGACCAGGTCCGTGGTCAGGGCCACGATGGTGCTGAGGTGGAAGGGCGTCCAGCAGAACAAGCAGACGGCCAGGACGATGAACACCATGATGGTGACCTTCTTCTTGGCTTTGTCCAGCGCCTTGGCGTTGCTGTTGAGCCGCATGCTCCTCAGCCTGTAGAGCATGGTGCTGTACAGGATGCAGATGGTGGACACGGGGATGGCGAAGCCCAGTATGAGCGTGTAGACGCGGCTGGTCTTGATCCACAGGCTCTCGGGGCTGGGGAAGTCCAGCACGCAGCTCTTCCTGCCGCTGTCCGGGTTGACGTCCACGCTGGCGAACAGCGTGAAGGGCATGACGATGAGGATGACCAGCACCCACACGCACAGCGAGACGATCTTGGCCGCCCGGTAGGTGCGGTAGGGCATCCGCCTGGACTTCACCGTGGCCAGGACCACCAGGTAGCGGTCGACGCTCATCACCGTCAGGAAATAGATGCTGGAGAAGATGTTGTAGTGGTCAATGCTGAGGATCACTTTGCAGAGAACCTGGCCGAAGGGCCAGTACTTCAGCAGGTACTCGGCTATGTTTATGGGCAGGACCAGAGTGAAGAGGTCGTCCGCGATGGCCAGGTTGAGGATGAACATGTTGGTGACCGTTTTCATCTTGGGGGCTTTGAGGATGACGTAGATGACGGCCGTGTTTCCGGTCAGCCCCACCGCGCAGATGACGGAGTAGATGACCGGCAGGATGACGGAGAACTGGTCAGAGGGGTAGAACAGGGACGGGGGAGTGCAGTTCAGGTCGGTGCCGTTTCCCGACGCGATGGAGTAGAGGTCCACAGAGTCGTTACACAGAGGCAGCCCACTGCCGGGGAAAGAAATGTTCTCCATGCTCTCTGAGAAATGGGACCTGAGGTAAAAGGAGACAAGTATAAGTACAAGAAGCACGATTTTCCATGACATCACTGGAGACAGAAGAAAGAAGAGAATAACAGAGCAATTCTCCTGGGAGATTAATCCACTATCAGCCATTTCACCATTATATAAAAATGTGATTATTCTCTTTCTTGTACCAAGAATAAGATTTCTGAAAAGTAAGTCTTTTTAAAACACATTTTTTTCTCTGTTAGGTGAGAACTTTCAAGCCAGGAAAGTGTGTTAATTGACCTTTTAATGCAGGCTCCCACTTACCCCAAGGGGGGGGGATTCCACTTCTTTTCTCTTCACTCTTAAAACTGTCCACACTTTATATCCACAGGGATGCAATTACCCGGTTTGAAAAAAAGAAAAGAAAAACTAAATCCTCGAAGACATGGCGATCTTCCTGGCTCTCTATGTATCCTTTCCTCCAAAGTTGAAAAAAAAAACACGATGCTTGTAAAGACTCGGTGTGACCTCCTGCAGGTCTGATGTGGTCAATGGCAGTTTTAGACCGTGTTGTTTCCCTCCTGCGCGCTCTGGAGACGGTGCCAGCGTTTTACGCACGGGTGGCGCATCGCGAAATCTGGACAACAAGGAGAGGTGGACACTCATCAGATGCCTTTAAATACATTAAACATCGGTGTTTATAGAAAATATGGTCAGCGGAGGCAGCTTTTGGCAGAAAGAGAGGAGATTTTTAAAAAACTTTTAGGGCTGACGACAAGACAAAAAGTCAAATTTCTATAAGAACGATAATTACATGCATCGTTTAATTTTTTTTTACAAAATACAAATTGAACTGCGTCAGGCATACGTCAAATAAATGGGATTGTTTTCAAGTTAATGTAAAATTGAACATATGTGGCGACGTGAAATTGTAAGAAAAATTGTAAGGTAAAAAATCTGAATTCCAGCCGTTACGCTGAACCCTAAAAGCCAAACAACAGCAATTCTTGATCTATCCACTATCAAAATCGAGATATCGTTACCAGCTCATTGCTTCTATGGAGAAAGCAGTCTGTTTACCAGCATCAGGGCGCGTTAAAAGGGATTTAGGAGAGTTTACCCGTTGGCGGGCCGGCGGAAGGCTCCATCCTCGCGGCTGTAACCTCTGCACACTCTCCGCTCTCCGCGGCTCTCTCCTCTCTCTCCTCTCCCTCCACGAGCTCCTGGAAGGCAGCGCCTCCGGCTGACGTCACGATCAGACTCAGTCGTGGAGGCCATCTGCTGGGATCGAGGTCTCTGGCTTCAAGGTGTCCTGCTCAGGTCAGAGTTGCTTCCTCCCGCGCCCCGGGGCGCATTCCAGCCTCCTATCGGACCTCATCACCACTGTGGTTGTTTTCATGTTGATTAATGGTTGTGTTTTTGGATTAAAGCCTTGTTTCACGCATGCAATTTATAGGCTTTTATTGTTTCTCATCAAATAATTTGATTGATACCGTTTGTGCCCCCAGATTTTTTTCAGAATCTGATTACTTCTATATCCAAAATGCCCTTTTTTCCATGAGTTCCATCAGCTCTATTTGACTTGACTGGACTCCCTTTGGCCCGGGTGGTCTTTCATGGCCAGTAATGTTGTACCTGGGAGATGGACTCGATAATTCGAGTGTCACCGTGTCATGTTGAGGATCACATAAATAACTGTGGTGCACGTTTGCTGCCGTGATATTTCAAACGGTGGGAGTTCCTGTGAAGTAGTGGTGGACTTGATACATCATTGTTATGAGGTACAAGCATCTAATAGGTATTAAAAAATACACAAAAACATGTAAATATGGGCCTAGTCATGCTGTATTTACTGGTGGAAAATGGAAAAGGGCTGTTATTGTATCCTGTAAAATCACTTTGGGTAATTGTGGAATATAGTTTTACCTTTTCCTGGGTTTTTCTTTGTGTTTCTCTTAGCTCACTGTGTTTTATTTTTGGCTTTCTTCTCAATTTCCCGTGTCTTCTCCTCGTTAATCTCAGTCTATTTCACTTCCCCCTGTTCTGGTTTTTCGACTCATCTCGCTTCACCTGTGTTCCCCGGGTCACCTGCTTTTCTTCCACTAATCACTCTTCCCTCCATCTATGCAAGTCCTTCTTTGCCAGATTCTTATCTGTGTTCTCAGCACTTGTGATTCTGCCCTGTCCAGTTTCTAGTCTACCTCTAAGGTCGGTTTTGTTTTCTAGTGTACCCCTGGTTTCAAGTTCAGTTTAGCTTTTTTTTTGTTATCTGACCAAGCACCTCTTTGTTGTAGATTAAGTAAACTATTATTTTTCCTGTTTTTCCGTCAGACCGTGATACTCCAATCAGTGTCCGCTGAAAATCACCTTTTGTTTGGTGGCACCTACACCCTCCATTAGTTCAGTGGTCTGGTGTCCTAATAAACAGGACGCTGAGCAATACGATACAGAAAAAAGGCATCTCAGGCTATATCACTTGTGGGGGATATTGAATCCAGTGGAAGATGGAAGTTGGAAAGCTGTGTATTTTCTAAAAACTACAGTGCCAATCATGAGATGGACACCAGATCCCCTCAGCCCAAAAATATGGATTAGTTACAAACATTACAATCTAGGATATAATTGTTCTTGTATTCTACATAACATTGACAAAGAAAAATACATTTAAAAAAAAGTTGATAAAAAAAGCTTGCTTCATACTGTGCATATATATAATCATTAGAATTGTGCCAAACTTTTGATTTTTATAATGGAGATATCCTGTTTGTTACAGGATATCTTTTAAAGTAACACACAATATAAGTTTGTGAACCATTAATTTAGTTATGAAGTTTATTTTAAGGTAAAAAAACATGCATTCTCACACACATTTGGATATAAGCAAATACTTAGGAAAATTCTTAGGAGAATTTTCTTTTTAGAATTGCATTTTTCTTCCATATGTGTTTTAAAATCTACAAAGTTTCCGGCCATCCAAACTAAGAAATACCGTATTTCATTATCAGCTCGTGCAAAAAACGATGGTTAAGAATGCACCATGTCGATGTCGACATTTGATATTATTCAACAAAGTTATTTCATAAACTATATCCTGATTCTGAGGTTTGGACATGAAAAGGGCGTGCTCCCTAAAAGATAACCACATCCTTGTTGTGCACCAAACGTAGCCAGAAGATTGACTTGTTTGCGTATGTTGCCATATGTCCATGCTGCAAATTCAAATGTTTGCCTACAGATTTCTTGATTGATTTCTTCTGAACAAACAGCCACAAGTCGATAGCGGCTTGCTCTTGACCAGTTCAACTCTATTGCTAAGCTTCCTGGCAGAAAAAAGCGGATACAGGGCTAAGAAAAGTCATGCATATAATCAATGTAATAATTACATTAATATAAGTTGCAAAAAGGCAAATCCTTCCCTTCATTTTGAATGATTTGATCCTATTCCTCGGCTTGTTTCGGGAGCTCCGTTGGTGCTTCGGAAGACTTTAATTAAATTCTCCTCTCTGGTCAAGCAGATTAAACTAAATTAAAGCGACACAGGATCACTGCTCTGCTTTGTAGAAGGAAGTTTGTTTGAAATGTATCTCCGTCTCTGGTTACACTTTCTTCACTTCCTGTAATCCATCAGCCGTTTGCCTCTTATTTCTCCGGCTGTCAAAAACGACCGACGTGACAACAGAACTCCCAAAATTCAAACTGTGACTGCACCCTGACACCTAAACCAAAGAACACGTTGTGCTAGTTTAGTGTTCCAGAAAGAAACTTTATGTTCTCGTGCTTCTTTCCATTAATCTGCAAGGATATGAAGGTTAGAGAGTAATATGCACTTAAAATGAAATCTGCATTAAATAAGCAGTTATATTATTTAAATATCATTGAAATTATTTTTAAATGATTTTTTAAATCAGTTAGATCAGTTTCAGGAAGCACAGACATCAGGTTAAAAACACTGCTCTAAATAAATCATATTGTGACTTATGGTTGTCAAAGCAAAGACAATAAATAGATGCACAGAAATAAAGATTACAATCTCCAATATTATGGAAATTGCATCATTATCAATACTATTATTATTGTTGTAATTGTAATTTTAATCTGAATATGACAATTGTAACTATTATTATTATTATTATTATTATTATTATTATTATTATTATTATTATTATTATTATTATTATTATTATTATTATTATCAGGATTGCAAACTTTTGTTATCATTATTATCTTGCTATATTAGTGTAGTTTTATCCATGATGCCCAACATTTTCTTCATCTTCTTAACTACTATCACATCCCACTCTGTTTTCCCTTTTTGCCCTTTTGTTTTTGTCTTCTGCAAAAGTCAAATGTTTCTATATCTTCACATCAGTGGGAGGGGAGCACACAGGGAGTTCTTATAAATCATAAACCAGCAACACTTCCTGTATTTGCTCAGGGCACGGCCCCTATTAAGGGTGCATGGATCTGTTTATGGGGCCGAGCCCATTCACTCTGGATTCACTGTGGTCTTTCTTCTTAATGGTAGATACTGTTTGAGAGAAATTACACCACTACTCCATGAGAATCACACTAAAAAAAAAGGAAAAAAAGCAAAAAAAAATGCATCAGTCACACAAAAATGTGACTACTAGTTTAGAATTATCTGATATTCTTAGAGGGCTTTTTAAATACTGTACATGCAATCGTTTTTGGAAATGTTTGGGACATTGAACCGATAGGATACTCCCCCAAAACCATTTTGATGTGTCACGTCTTTGTTTACCGAGGTAGCACAAGTCAAAACCAAAGCGGGAGTCAGCTTTGTTGTCAATCACGCCATACGCACACACAGACATATTGAGGAATCAAAGTGACAAGGCCCTCCGTCTCCCGGGCAACGCAGAATGAGCAATGGTGGAAAAAATCAGAGTAACAAGTCTTAACTTTAGAGATGAGAGCATTTTGAAGAAGCATTATGTCGTGAATAAACTAAATAAGATGAATTAAAGATTTTAAAAAATATATATATATAAGTATATAAAGTCCTGAATATGGAATATAATCTAAATGTAAACGATAACCAGTAAAGTTCAGTGAATAAGGTGCAACCATCAGAATTATAAAAACTGACATAGTCTTTATAGTCCAGGAGCTTTTTGGTACCAGGACGATGGTGTGACGCAGATTTCCTAAAGATAAAACATTTGAACAGTCCAACCTGTGAGGCTTTATTTTATGACATTATATTATACTGATTCACATGGAAGCAGATTTATGAATAAATTGGATAAAATGTTAATTTCTCTTGCCATTAACAGCATTTGATCTTAATATACATGAGCGTAAAAAAGTGTTCCTCAATTATTCAAGCACAAATGACTCAAACAACACATATTGGCATTTTAGCCCTGTCTGGAACCTTACCTTTTTTTGTTTAAGCTACGGTGACCGGCTGATTTCCAGAAAAAAACCCCACCTGGCCTCGAGGCACTAATTCATATACCGTAGGCTTCAAAAAGGTTGATGAACGCGCTTTATTATGTCCAAAATGATAAATTTCTTTTCAGATAAATAGATTAATGACATAAATCATGTTGTAAATATGTGTTGGAAAATCCAGCTACAACAAAAATACTACTAAGATACTTTTAAACCCCTTTTTAATGTGGTCAAATAAAGGACTGATTTTATTATTTCACCATATACAGCTTTTTTTTTGTTTTTGGCGTACATGTGGGCTTTGAGACCTCCAGGACCGTTTATTAGACACTAAAACATGTGTGCCAGCTTCCATACCTATAGTTATTTTCTGTTTTTTGTCCTTTTCTTGTACTCTTGGCTCACCCTAACTGTTCAGATTTATTTTGCCTGTAGTCACACTGATTGACATCATAAGTTAGTGTTCAAATATGGAGCAACATTCATGTTTCAGGATGGTCATACTGTCAAAACTGGCTTAGTCCATGGACAGTTACCAATATTAAAGAATATCATAACAGATCTGGTTTAAATGGCATCAAACGTAATCACTTATCATTTATCCACATTAGAAAAGGCTTAGAATTCATTCCATAATACGTCCTTATTATAGATTCTGATGCTCCAATGATGTATTCGAGCTCTATAGTACAAACATGATATTCTTCTGTTTTCAGGAAAATAGTTGGAAATATTCACACCCTCCTGATGGATCAGCAAACAGTGCTTTTCAGTTTTTGACCAAATGTATTACGCCGGAATATTCGAAAAAAAGCGTCTCTGTTGGCTAAGGCAGGTGCTGAGAAAAGCCAGAGGGCTGTGAGCTTCCCCCGGCGTTCTGTCTCTGTCAGAGAGCCCCTCGCATCACGCACATGACGACACCAAGATGTCACCCTTTGTCATCTAAAAATAGTCAGAGAGAGATCTGCGCATCAGGATCTGAAAGATCTGAAAGAATGAGCGAAATTCACACCAACGATCTTAAAAAGTGCAGCTTAGAGGCTTATCTGTCATTAAGAAGCAGCCTGAATGGATCTGAATCAGTTTTAACTGTTAATTTACTTTTATAGCTTCAATTGTGAGTGACAATCACAGTTAATCTGAAATCAATCAATCAATCAATCAATCAATCACTTTATTTTGGTAAATTGTCCACATTAAACACAAGAAACAACAAAAGAAAAAAAGAAAAGAACAATAGACAAACCCACAGTTTACCAAAAAAGGAATAGGCCGAAGCAAAGCTTATTTTTGCCTACCCTATTTTTTACCTTACAACCTACCAGGATTTAATCAAATTCAGATTACATAGTACATAGTACATGTATAGATCTACATAACGGCGTAAGATTTTATCATTTTACATTTTAAAGCTCTTTTAAAGTTCACCAAGAAAGGACATAACTTAAACTCATCATTCAATTCATTCCACAGTTTCACACCAATAACTGAAACACATCTAGACTTTATCTGACTTTTCTCTTTTGCACATTCAAATATAAACGAACCTCGCAAATTATAAAGCGCGTGGATTGGATTAAAAAGGCGAATTACATGTTTTGAATGGATCTCCAAGGTCCATTTACAAAAAGTACAACTTCTGACTGGCAAATAAAGAAGACTAGCTAACTTTATCTGGTACAGCCCGCTATTTTTACAGAATAAATCTCCATGGCGACTCCTTATACCACTGCTTCTGTACCTTGATAGTGTCAGTCCTAAATACAATCCCTACACACAACCAGCCTTTTAAATCTTGGCTGGCCTCCACAAAGTTTCCTGTTACCAAACACACTCAGGAGGTAAATAGTCTTCTACCAAACACTTGTCCTCTCTCTGTAGTTTAAACACACATAAAGTGTAGACATTGGTGTCGACATGACAACCAATGAGGAGTTCCTGTGTTGCCTGGGTACACTTCGATTGTGCGTTTGGTCATCCTTTTAAATGGGAGACAACCTCTCTACCACCTGAGGGACAGTTTAGCAAATTAATTATCCAATTCAGAATAGATATTTGACCACTTTCTTGCACAGTTTTTTGTTGGTTTGTTTTTGTCGTTTGTGTTTTGCTGTCTCTTTAATATTGATTGTAAAGGTTTGATTCCCATTTATGCATGCTTAGCGGCAATTCTAGATCTTTCTACTTAGAAACAGTCGTGGTAATGCATAAAAACCCTTGAGGCGTTTTAAATTACTTTAACATGTAACTATGATGGCTGTGTGGAAAATAAGATGAATCGAGGAAACCTAATTAAGGTTCTTACAAGTACTGGAAACCACTCATTGATTTCAAGATATCGCATTGAGTTAGAGAGAGCAACGCTATCAGCAAAACACCATTTCTAAAGGCAAATCCCCTAAACACAGATACCTTCTGGCCCCTTTTTTAATCCTTAAGGATAAAACGAGACGTTCAGGGAACAGAAAGGTCCTGGAACACGCTCGGTGGTGACGAATGACGCTCTGCTAGGAGCCAAAGGCAAAAGGCGTCAGTCCCCGGCCCTTTATTTAAGAATCCACACGGTCGAACTCACGCAAGACCAGGACAAACCCGTCGGCGAAAAGCCGCGAAAGCACCGATATTAACACAATGGATTCCTCGTAATGGCCAATAAACCCCTCTGTGACTTTCACTGGCAGCGACACACGCCGCATACCGGAGTGGAAAACAGTCAGAGGGGCCGTCCAAACACAGCACTTTCGTGGAAACGCCGGCGTGACCTACCGGGAAAATGGATCATAGCACCCTGAAGGCTTAGCAATAACAAAACAGCCTCCGGGATGGATGTTCACGGTCACACACGTGTAGACGTGACCCTAAATGGTCTGAACGGTTGTAAGGTAGAGCAGCTCTGGATTCCTGTGGCGGCGGCCTGATCCAAGCGTTTCAGGCCAGTTTTTTTTGGAGTGACCAGTGGGACTGAGCAGCCTCCATAGTCTGAGTACCAACCCCTCCTCTTCAGGTAATGAAGATAATGATGCCTCTGGAGTCCACACACCTCTCCAAAAGCCCATTTCCAAAAGCAAAACTGACTCTTATACCTGTAATTTAGGGACTGATGAAGAAAATATGATATTTATCTTGTGTTATATTGGAAAAGACATTAACAAAAAGAAACTAAAGAATGCCAAAAAAACAGACTTTCATGGAAATTCTAGAAACTTCTTGGTTCAAGTTTTGTGTCAGAATCAGAATCAGAATCAGAAATACTTTAATAATCCCAGAGGGAAATTATTTGTCATGCTTTATGTCATTTTCCTCCGACTTATAATTTCCTCCACATCCTCTTTGCTGTTACTGGTTTGTGTTGGTGGCGACTAAACTAACATGGAGGATTGTGCTATTCAGTATGCTCTGTGGTTTTAAAATACTAGCCAAGCACAAATGTTCTGAACTTGTTCTGAGGTCTTGTACTGTTCTGCAGATATTACAGACTCTTGTTACATTTACATTAACCCATAAGAAACCAGAGTAACACATCTGGAACGACTCATTTACACTAAAAACACATTTATTCAAAATTTCTTTTTAAAAAATGTGATAAAGGGGGTTCATTTGGTCACTTTTCTATTCCCTATAATCTGTCTTTAGGGGGAAATGGGTGTGGCTTTTTGCATTAAACATTTATAAAAAATTTCTTTTTAAAAAATGTGATGAATGGGGTTCATTTGGTCACTTTTCTATTCCCTGTAATCTGTTTTTAGGGGGAAATGGGTGTGGCTTTTATGGATTAAACATTTATAAAAATTTTCTTTTTAAAAAGTTTGATGAATGGGGTTCATTTGGTCACTTTTCTATTCCCTGTAATCTGTCTTTAGGGGGAAATGGGTGTGGCTTTTAAGGATTAATCTGTATTTTGTGGCCTCAGCATTTATACAGTGATGTTTCTCCCAACCTTTAGTAGCATTGGGCTATTATAAAGCACATAAAGAAGACATCAGACGGCTCTCCCCACTTTCCTCTGAGCACCCTGAGTATGCTATAGTAGAATCACTAGCCACAAAATCCACTTTCAGAGGCAGGAACAGATGTTGGAGTACCTTTTGAATTCCTCTTCACAGCAAAGCACTTATTTTCTAATCGATGACAACTGCTTCTGAAAATCCTTTGTTCTGGATTTCTGTCTGAATCAGAGTTTGTGTGTGCTCTATAGCTGGATCATGCTGTCAAGACTGAAGATTGTATTATCTGTCCAGAAGACAAGAGAGAGATTGTCCTACCAGTAATACAACATTTTAAATGGTCTCAGCGTGTGAAAAATCTGGTGTCATTTCGGACTGTGTGCTGGATTTTAAATCCACATAATAGAAATCTGTCAAAGACAGGATTCTATCATCTTAAAAAACATTGCCCGTTTCTCTCTTTTGGAACATGTTTTTCTGTCTCCCTGCTAAAAAGCATTTCTAACCTCTAAATACTCCAGAAATAGGTTTAAGAATTGAATTGTTTACAGTCTTTGGTCTTGGGCCTTCTTTATTTATCTGACCACCTCATGGTGAGACCTTGTTCCACTACTGTGGTCCTCATTTATGGAAAAGATGTTTGTAAACGGAGGCTTTTGGCCTCCATTTTTAGTTTATCTTACATCTGAATTTGATGGATTTATTCATTTTTGTTTTTTGAAACAAGTCTGTCTTCAGGGTGTCCTTCACGAAATGAATGAATATCTCAGTTTTTTTTTTAAAATGTTATAAAAGACTTTTGATTTTCTCTCATTGAAATCATGTAGACAGTACCAACTCTGAGGTTGAGCTGGAGGTTTTGTACCTGGAGCGCTCACAGGTGGACGGGAATGAAGCTGTGTTAAAATTCTTAAGACCTGAAGACACGAAAAACAAAACCATGTTCAATTTATTCATGTGTTGCCCTCAGAACGCCGCCCATCCTTTGGTCACGTGTAGAAGTGTTTTGGGTCTCCAAAGATGTAAATCTGTTTTCCGAAATGTAACTTTTTGTCACGTCTAGGGGAATTTTTGCACTTTGCCATAGCCACGTTTTTGTCACAGCCATGCCATAGTCCTGTTTTCGTACCACAGCCATGTTTTTGTCACAGCCTTGTTTTGCCACGGTCTTGTTAACCTTGTTTTGCCACAGTCTTGTTTACGTTGTTTTGATACTTTTGCCACAGCCATGTTAATCTTGCTTTGTTACTTTGTTCATAGTTTTGTCACAGCCTTGTTTTGAACTTTGTCAGCATCCACTCCGTTTGAGTGCGTTTTTGTTCCAATAAACCCTTGCTTCACATATCTCCGCGACTGAGTCCTGACACTTTGTTGTTTTTTCATGTTAACTTTTTAAAAAAAATTTTATATAAATTTGTTTTGGGGCTTTTAAAAATGTTTTGCATCTTTTTTCTGAAATGTTAGTTTGTCTAAAGAGTGTTTTTTTGTCTGAATTTGTAATGTTGGTTTGCACCTCCCCATCACTGTAGTTCCGAGGCTTTTCCAACACAGGCTGCTTACACCAACATGTAATTATAAAAAATGAGATAGCTGCCCACTGCTTCCCTTCTGTGAGGCTTCGTCCAGTGGTAGGAGGAAGCCAACGGGGGTCTGAGAGTAATAAGAGTTCCAACGAAGAAGCACAGGGGCACACTGTCCCCTACTGGTGACACTGGACATGTGTAACTCCATTTATCAAGAGGTTTCTAACACACACTGATAAAAAACATTATGAACCATTATCAAATTTATGCGGAAGATAATCTGTTTTAGAAATGATTAGGTTTGCCACAGTTATTCTATGAGATAGTATCCCACAAAGAATGAGAGCATCCATTCATTGAAATTTAATACAGATATTGATCAAAAGCACACGGCAGATATGTCATATCCAGAGCAGAAGACAGGTTCTGTCATTAGTGGGTTTAAATATGAGCTGCCAACTCAATTACATAGTTTTTTTTCAGTTAAACCTTGTACCTATCAAATTCCACATAGCCCATTTTGGCACAGTTGGACCCACAAAAGCAGACAAAACACTGAAAAATAATTAAAAGGATATATGTTGAAGTAATGTATAAATATCGAGCGTGTTTGTGAGTCCAGACTCCATCTATTCTAATGGCCAGATGGCAGTAGGTGAGTTCATCCATGAAAAAGCTGCTGAGAGGTCACTTCACCGGTAGAAAAAGCCCGAAACCGGAGATAAATTCTGTGGAAAATGTAAGATTAGTCCTAGAAACAGATGAGGTCTCAGGGAAAGAGCAAGAGATCAAACCCCCTGTCCACAAATGAGGGAAACGAGGTGATCTGGTGATAATAAGAGTTCCAGTTGGGCTAAAAATAGAGCTACACGGATCAGATTATTACCAGTTCTACTTATGGAGGATCTCCCCCATACTGGAAAAACTGGACCAAAACCACTGATGCAGAAATAAACCTAAATATCCCTCAGACGTTCAGTCAGTTGGTGGCTCATGAGACGATTTACGGAATCTGAAATCAGAGTGGAAACCACATGATCTGTGTGTGAATGGGGAGAGGGAGTAAACAGGTTTGTCTTCCTCCCACGGCTTTTCCAGCTAATAATTTTAACTAAGATAATTTTCCAGATTATTGTTTATGCATGAATACAACCTACATTTTTTTTCATTAACTGGACGTTTGTGTGCATTGTTTAAACGTGTGTGTATATGTTTTTTGTTACATAAATATATATATAAACAGTATATATATTACATCTATCACTTCTTTATCCAGTAAGGGGTATAACATGCTTTTTTTTATTTCCTGTTTTTGATATGGCTCAACATTTCCATGGCTCAACATGAATAAATGGATAAATAAATCATCTAGAAATGTATTTGATTTAATTGTGTCAGGCCAACCCACATAGATATAACCAGGATCTTTTCATGGAAAGGACAAACCCCACACTGGGCTAAAAACGGGCCTAATTTGTGCGGCCACACTCCGGTGTGGGCAGCGCTAATAAGTGTCCTGCGGTTTCCGGTTTGCTCTGCTACAAGTAATTAGCCTCCTCACGTCAGGCCAACCATAAAACGTGTCTGTATTCAAATCAAATGTATAATTCACAGTTATATAAACAGTGAAGATATGTTAAATTCAAATTTTCCTTGCAGTTATTAATTCTTGTCATGTTTCAGGGAATCAGACAACCAGTGAAACACTATTCCCCCAGTGCTTCACATCACTATAGATGGTTAACATGATTCTCTTCCCTCCTGATAATTGCATTTCTCTCTTTTTTGCTGGTGTAATAAGTCAGTGAATGCCAACGTTAGACCTCCTGTCGTTCACCCTGAAATGACAGCCCCCTCCGTGGTCATTCTGGTGGTCTCCTTCAACTGTGTCACCTTCATCGGCCCTGCATGTCACGCTGATTAGCCTCATCTCCACCGTTGCCTAGCAACACCGCTAATGACAATGGGCTAATTTAGCTAAACACTACGACAAGCCTTTGAGAACCGAAGCAAGGGATGCTCTCATTGTCAAGTTAGGTCATTTGTAGAATCATTTGTTGAAAGTTTTCAGACAAGGAATATAGAAAAAAAAAACCAAGAGGGAACATATGAAGTTTTAAATCCGCTTTCACTGAGTTTTTGTGTCATAAACGGTGAGTTGAGCATCCATTGTAATGGCCGGTTTTATCCACAGTTTGGCAAAAAAATCAAAAAGCAGCTTTTCAAACATGCCAGATCCCAGATAATGCCATTCCGCCTTCTAATTCCCCACAGCGGCGGGGTGGAGAGATGGGCCCTTCAGGAATAAACGAGTT